AAAACATAAACTAGTTTATGTTCATTTCTTCAGTTAAAAAAACTGACATGCTTTAGAAATTGCACTTCAATGCAATGTGCTAAGGGGGTCAATGTAACACACTGCAATTTTAAAAGAATGAAGACAAATTTCATATTTTAGAATATTCAATTGGGAACTGACTAAATCACTCTCTAGGTTATGGCAGCACTCAGTTTGAATTAAGACATTCACTGAGCTCTGTCACTTCCCAAAGAGAAATCTTAATAGTCACTTCAAATAGAGGCTCTGGCCCAGGGGGCCCCCTGACCCCTGGGGCAACAAGGCCTGGGCCCCGGTAGGCCCGTTGTGTCCCATCAGTAATCCTTCCATGTTAGGTCGTGCCAGGAGTTTGAAGTCAAAAACAATTGAGGCACACCAATGAGAAAGGACGAGGGGAAAAAAGAGAAAGAGAAAGAGAGCTGTCAGTGGAGTGCTGCCTGTAGGGCTACACTCAGGGATCAGAGTGTTTACACCTGCCTGACATCATCTGAAAGTGGGCCAGAGGCAAAACCTCTATCAAAGCATTTGTTGTATAGCTCCACTTTAAACCTCACATGCACACGTGAACACACACACACACACAACGTCTCTCTCTGCCTGACTGACACAAAGAAAACAACAGCTTATAGTTGAAATATGGCACTGATCTCATATTTCTGAACGGGAGATCAACAAAAGATTGATGTAGGAGAAGGATTCTGTTTAACGGCTTTCAAATCATCTTGGCATTTTGCTTCATGCACAGTCTGATCTTTTCTTTTTGTCTTTTGTTCTGCACAGCACTCGCTTTTTATTGAAACCATCAGTGAGCATCTGTCTCTGACAAAAACCCAAGTGGAACCTCTTGAAATGTGTAAAATGCAGTTATCTCTACAATGTGACTTTTGTCTTTCCAATTTGCCTTGTAGTAACACTTTTTCTGATACCGGGGGCAAGCTTTTTCAAAGTAAACGTCCCGACTCAACCTCATGGACACAAAGCCCAAGGTAGGATTGATGTGTGCTCTCCGAGTCCTCCGGGATCGTTTGAACGCAGGGCGCCGAGGGATTTGTCAGTCTAACGGGAGCTGACAGGAAGAGAATGAACTTTAACACTCACAGGCTGCTTTCCCTTTCATGAGCTTCCAGAGAAACCCTGTAGTGAATCAAATCCCTCTGCTGGGGGAAATACGCACACAGTTGTGTCAAAAAAAAAAATGCATACACATGGGCACTAACGTAGAGTCACACAGACGCACCCACATCTTATTCAATGTTACCCTCCCCCACTTGTCCCTACACATTCCCATTTAATCTGTCAAGCTGTTAAGAGTGACAAATGTGTTGAAGAAAGAAAAATACAAAATACGAAAAGAATACATTCAGTACATGCAGATGCGGCTACACAAACTGTAACACACACAGACACACACTTCCTCCAATGACCTGAGAATAGAGGTCGTCGCTGAGGGCTCGTTGTTTCAGTGATTTCACGCTGTGTTGCTTTCAATCAGGGGCTGTAATGAAAGGTCTCATAACTCTAACGTTAATGGGACCCAAGGACTGTTAAACAGATGAATAACTTGGTTTTGTAACTCTGAGTTAGGACCCAAAATGGCTTTCAAAGTCTTGCTCTGGTGAGTCTCCATGTGGTGAGTTAACAGGTATGTTGGAGCCTAAGGTGACATAACGTTCTCATTTGGGTCCTGATGAAAAGTTTAATAAACTCTGGCCTGAAGTGTTGCCTAAGAGCTTGTCTGTTTAATTATTTACCATTAACTGAGACTGCTGGAGGAACTCCCAAATTACCCAGAGTTAACTGCAGTTCAGGGCTTTTCCTGCAAAGGGGAATTTTTGACACTTTTAGTGGCAAGGTGAAAAAGGACATGAAGAACTGAGAAATAAAAACATTCCCTTGAATTAGTTTCGGGGCATGAGACCATCTGATCAGCAGTGACCATAAATAACGGAGGTCTGTAACTGGCAAAAAAAAAAGCTGACATTTTGTTGATTGTGCTGGCAGATGTGCCCCCTGAGATAATTGCCTGGCTATAACGGTGAGTTGGGCGAAAACTTTGTCCTAAAAGTTGGCAGCTTTCAGACCGCTGCTTCTCTTTTGCCCAGTGATGAGTCTTGGTGCATTGGTTATATCTGATAAAAAAAAAAAAAAAGCAGGCCAGTTGTGAAAACCCGCCAGTCACGAATGTATTATTTTTTATTTTTGTTTTTTCCATTTAGAAAGCACAGTGCTGATATATGAATTTGAAATTAAATGTATTATAACTTGCAGAAAACCTGAAAATGGTAAGTAGTATTCTGTCCTCCTCTCTACAAAATATGTTTATATACTGCAGTTCCCCCAATGGCCACTTGAGGCTGTCTTTTTATATAACTCATCCATTTAAATTATATAATTCATATATATTATGCAATGGTATACCTTTTCCAGATGCATGAATTATTCCTGTTCATTCAGAATGGCTGCATAACACTGACTCCCTGATATCTTTCCAGGAGTTTGTTTCTTTGTTGACCCAACACAATGAATCAAACAAATGGGATTATGTGGAGAAAGAGAGAATTTAAGGTTGCATCTTGAAACTGTGAAATGCAATTTCTCCAAATGGACTGTAAAATAAATAAAATGTTACAATAAAATAAACAAGAATATATTTCACCATAACATAACAATGAGGATGAAAACATTTCGTCAGGCACGACACAACACATGGAGCCAGTCCAGGCCCTCCCTCTATCCTTGTCCACTACGATTCCCTCGCACTCAGCAAGGCCAGGCGGTGGAAAATGATGAAAAATAAAAACAGAATAAAATGATTATGACACACCATTGTTGCCAACTTGATGCAGGGCCCAAGGTCTCAAGCCAAAGAGTAGCGTAATAAACACCACCATGCACACTCCTCTCTGCGCTCATCATGCAGTGTCATCTTCCTACTGCTGCCTCCATCAAAAACACAATTACAACCCTGCATACTACTGTAAATCCCAGCGTACAGCAGCCACTACGCCGCTGAGCCAGCTGAGCCAGACAGTCGTGCTCACACACTTCCAGACAGGCCAGAGAGCATTTCTCTGGTTATACATAGACTGCTGGTGGTGGTTTTCCACAGGCCAGAGAGCAGACGCTCTGACTGAGCGGTATCAAATATCACTATGAGGCTGCACAAACACAAACACATAAACTGCACGACTAGCGTAGCAGTCTTGGAGCTCAGCTGCCAACATACTGATGACAGCTTCTGAATAGAAACCAAGTAGTGGGAGCTATTTCTGTTCTCAGGCCACACATAAACACAGACTTGCTAATTACTGGATTTTACTGGTGGTTAATACAAGCACTAATATTTAAAGGACAAGTGTTTTAGCAGTTGCAGACTGCAACTCCCTCGCTTCACCCCCAGAAAACGGCCCTATAAAGAGACGTTTGGTTTGTCCGTTTTGGGCTACTGTAGAAACATCGCGGTTCAACATGGCGGCCTTCGTGGAAGAGGACCCGCTGCCTCTTTAGATAAAAACATCTGAGGTAACAAAAGCACAACAATTCCTATATTCAGGTGATTATTATACACTAATGAAAACATATGTATAAATATTATATTCCATTTCCATTATATCCTCATAAACGTTACACACTGGACCTCTGACCTCTAGGTCACCAGGGAGCCGCCATTTTCAATTTTACAACCTTGTTTTGTTCTCAGAAAAGTCAGCCTTAAACATTAACGTAACACTTTAAAAGCAGTCAGTCACCTTAGCCACGTACAGTATGTGTTATTTTCATAAATTAAGTTAAGTGCCTGTCTGGAGAAATGTCAAACTGATGTACACAGAAGACAGCAATAAAAGATGTAAGAAAGTCAGATGTTAGTGCATAAAAGCGAACATTACCTGTCAAAGAGAATTTCCATAGTTACAAATTAAATCACCCAAGTTCACGATTAACTGAAAACTGCCAACTGACAAAAACTCAACAACACTTTTTTCTTTCTAGTCTGACAGTCATCACTGCTGTCTTGAAGGCACAGTAACTATAGCCTCGAGTCACACCACATTTACTGTCATTCTTGATGTATTTCACCTTTCAGCGAAAAGCATTACACACTCCACCCATCGAGAGTGTTTTCAACTTAGATATTTAAGCAAACAAAATGTGTAAAATCCAAACAATGTTTGCAAATTTGACTGATGATTGCACTTTTTTGGGCAATAAAATAATTCAGCGGTAGAACCAGGAATGCTTAACCTTGCGAGGAAGCTGGACTTATTCTATGCGTTTTCGGCTGGTACAGTGGTACCGGACCAGTCTTTGTCCTTTAAGAAAGTACTGGCAGCTACAGGGTTTTCACAGCTAGGTATAACGCAATGACACCGTTTGTTGAACCACAATGGCGGCTCCGATAGAGGTTAGAGTAAATGCTGCTCTACTAAATCAGAACTGGAGAGTATTTCTTCATTGAAAGAAGCACAAAGAACGGCACTGAAGGCTTTTCTTGATAGAACAGATTTTTCTTTTGGTAAAAGTTTGACAATGTTGTATGGTTTGTTGATCTTACTGGCTGAAGTTTGTTTGTGATGGACTGTGATAGATGGTTTATGGATTATAGTAGTGCCTGTCCTTTCCCAGTTTCCTAGGATGACTTCTCTGATGGTTCAGGGTAACAAATGTGCAGTCAGCTTAGGTAATGCTGGCCCAGGGCGAATAATATCAAAACTCGATACAAGAAGCAAAATGTAGCAATATTTCATAAAACCATTTCTAAACTGAACTCTGAAATGAGAACTTTAATGTCTTTTTTTTCTTATAACCTTATTGAATTTACCACCACACATTGATTTCTAGGCATTATTTGTTAACAGCCATTTGTCCACCGCTCAACTCATGTTGGCCCCACACACGGAGAAAGATCACCAGGAGATTTGACATAAGACTCTGCTGGTCAGAGCTGCAAACGAACACATGTGCAACACTGGATGATTTACCTTGTTCTCTGAGTGGTTCAGGTCAGGTGTCTTGGCTGTGGCGTCCAAATCAGTCACCCCTCTATTGAGGTTTAACTCCTCTGCTGCCGGCACCTGGCTCACCTCCTCGGCGTCAATATCTGTCTCCTCGGTGACAGATGCTGTCTTCTCTGCGCCTGTTAGCTCCCGAGCTGAGCCGAGGAAAGTACACACACATACAGGTGGATAAGCACGCACGCCTGCATACACACATGTGGGCATGAGCATGTACACACGCACACATGGGCGGACACACAAACGCACTCAAGTCAGAAAACATTATCCACAGAACCACAGTACATTGTATGATTATTCAAATGTATATTAATGTTCTAGGTGTTCAGTCAGACAGCTCTTTAGCAAAAAACCAGAGATATCAGTCCCCATATTACCACACAAAGAGCTGTAATACAGTGCAAGTCTAAATATAATACAATGCTGCCAGCACTCTCTTATTTCATTGGAGTTTTCATTTTGTGGTTTGAGTTTGTGAACACTGTTCTCATTACTGTTAATACATTTTTAATGGGACAAATTGGCCCAAATTTGATACAGGCCGTGTTTTCGGGGAAGCAGATAACATTAACAATGGAGATCAACAATATTATCTGCGTATGAGACAAAATCAATGCAGACAACAATACTGTTTATGAGGAGCACTCTTCCTCGTCCTCTTCTGCCCTCCACACTTACTCAGACTATCTTGGAACTGGGTTCTATTTGACTCCTTTGTCAAAACTGAACAGAGGCAGTCCTTCTCTTTTTATTTGATAAAGATTGATTTTTGACTGAGGCCACACTGACAAAAGCTGCCACAAGTGATGCACCAGATCAACACACTGAAACACTTGAATAGGAGTGTACACTAAAGGTATGTTTTCCTACAGAGAACACACACATTTAATCAACAAATATGCGATATCCTACATTTTAAAGTACTACGATAAAACCACCACAAAAACTCTAGCAAAATCTTCATTTAACTAAATGCAAGTTGAAACCCTCAAAATTATGATTGTTTTTGACCTCAGCAGTCTGATTTTTGTTGAACATTTAACCATTTCAAGTGTGATATATTTGGCTCACCAGGCACCAGAACACAACTATAACACTGTTTGTCACAGCTGTTGGAACATTTCTTCCCCTGACTACAAAGCCTGAAGCTGCTGCCTCTATATCATACCCTCACCTAACACAACATTGTATAACAGGGGAAACGTAGGTTCCAGTTCTAGTTTATATTTTACTTGAATGTGATTTGTTTTCATGTTCAAGCACAGTTATTGACAACTGCCCACTACATAGAATTGCATTTGCTTCCAGGCAACGTGACTGTACTAAAAATATATGATTGCACTGGGAGCTACAGGGACCGCAGTCACTTGAGTGGCAAAGCTATTTCTACCCAGAATAGATGGCAGTTACTACTATTTACTCAAGACTGCCTCTCAAACAGCCTCATACAGCAAGTTTCATTAAAAACACAATCATTTTAAAAACATGAAAACTACTCAAAAGAAGAAAGGAACTTAGTCGATATAATTACTCTCTTTATTCCTTAACTGGGATGCACTTATATCAAACAGTAAAATCCTAAAATACGTAACAAAAGACTCTCTCTTCATTGCATAGCTTGCATTTAATGCAAGGTGAAAACAGTTAAGGGACAGTTTGGCCTTTTGGGAAAAAATGCTTATTTGCTTTCATCCTGAGAGTTAGAGGAGAACGTCTGTTTGATAAGAACAGACCTGGAGTCAGGTTGTGGTTAGCTTAACTTAGCATACAGACTGGCAGCAGGGGAAAACGGCTAGCTTGGCTTTCTCCAAAGATGAACAAATGCCCTCCCGGGTTTTTGACCAAATAAACATTAACAATACAAAACTGAAGTGAAATGATCTGCCTCTATTTAACCTACTGGCACGCAGAAAATAAAAAAGGAAACTGCATTAGAAGTGCAATTATACCACCTTTGGGCAGCACATCTCCTTTGCAAAGAAAACAGAATTTTATTTGTTCAGTATATTAACAATTTGGAATATTGCTAACAAAGTCATCAAGGCTCCCCATCTTATGTCCTGTAGGCTCAGTTCAGTACTTCAGTGTTCAGTATTTAGTGATCACTGAACTGCTGGATGCCTGTGGCACTGTTATGTCTTATGTTAATGTGAACTGTAATGATAACATTACGGTTCCACAGTGTGGCGTTGTTCACCATTGACTGGGCTTTTATTAGTTCCAGCGATATTAGCAATTCTTTACACATTTATTTGTTTGCTAATAAGATTATTCTTCATCTTATATGTACGTATGAAATGATGCACAAACATTCTTCTGAGAGGAAAATCATCACTTGCTCTTTACTTCCTGCTGTGTCTCCTTTTCTTCGCACTCCCTGCTGTTCAACCCAGTTCTCCATCCCCTCTCCTCCTCTCTAATTCATGTCTACATTTCATCTTTTCTTCCTCCTCTCGTCCTCTATGATCCCAAGTCGCTCTTTCCTCTAATATCCATCTATTCTTCCTCCTCCCCTCCACTAGCCATGCTTTCTTCCAGCTTTCCGTTTCTCTAATCCGCTATCTCCCACTCTTCTATCCCTTCTCCTTTCACTGCCATGATAATTAGTTCTCCAGATAAGCTCATTGGGTGTGCGTGACGGCTCTTGTGTTGCTTAACACACCATGACAGCGAGTGTGTGTAAAGGCCTGAGTTTGTATGCATGTGGGGTCCTTGCACTGTGCATGAATGTACAGTTATAGAGTGTGGGTGATCTCTGGGCTTATCAGCATGTGAAAGAGAGCTTGTCTCTGGAGGGTTGGAAGGGGGATGTAGGGATAACGTATCCCTGGCACTCTCCGATCGGGGTGTGGAGGGTGACCAGCGTTGGCTGCTGTAATGACTGGAACGGTGGTGTGAAAGAGCTCAGTTCTTGGACTCTTCCAACTGCTGAATCCCCGTGTCTGTCCTCTCAGACCCCACTCAGAGCCACGTGTCTCTGGGCTGCAGTGGAGCCCATCCTGTCCAGGCACGAGGCATCGGATAAAAGTAGCTCAGCCCACCAGTGTTGTTGTGTGGTGCCTTCTTTCTTTGGGTTGACTCATCCGTGACATTCACTCCAGCATCGCCCTCTCCCGCTTGCCACCATGGGTACAATGCAGACAGGAATGTGTATGTGTGCGGAGTGTGTATACGGTACTATCTGTTTGTGATATCTGAGGACATAGGACTGTGTGAGAAGTGTGTAGGAGTGCGTACAGGGGGAGGTTTTGCCAAGACTTCAGATTTTATATTATTTTTGGACTTCAATATTCATTTTCACCATGGCCTTATTTCTATCCATGACCTAAAAAACCCATTCCTTCCTGGTTTGTTTATCTCGTCTTTCAACGGGGATGAGGTATGTTCTGCACTATTTCTGGGCTGAAACCTCGTTCACATGGGGGCGAATGGATTGTGGCCTCTTCTTCTTGTCCCAAACCTAAAATCTTCAGAGTCTTTAAACATAGGATAACATACTCAACAAAACAACTGCTGAGGTCTTGAAACGCTGTGACATCGAATGGGATTCTTTGTGATAACGTGATGAAAAGAGCTTGCACTGCCAATGGTGGTCAGCTAGCAGTAAGCATGCTAGCAGATTAGCTAGGTAGCACAAGCTTGGGCTACCTCTGTCAGCTATGTAAACCCATGTTTCACACATCAAAATGGTCCCGGGGTTCTCCTATCAGACTCTTTATTTTGGACATATTCACAACATTTTTACAACCGCCTCACATTTCCAGCCATTCACCGCCCCAGCACACTGAACCCTGAACCGTTACATCAACTCCACCCACACGTCTGCCTGCCTGTTTATTTCTTTCTCTTATTGTTTTGTTTGCTTCAAAAAAGCATGGACGCTCTGTTGTGTTTACATCTGTAAAATCCCCTGCTGTGTTTTGTGCGAGAAAGGGGTTAATATGTTGCACACTGTAAAAGACATCATTGCTTCCAACAGAAAATCATTTGAATAATTGGTTGTCATTAAAAATGAACCTTCATTTAACTTCAATAATACAATTTATTTTACGGACAACTTGGATGCAAATATTTCAGATACTGTTAATCTTGTTCCCACCATGAGCAAGCACTTGGCGACAGCGGCAAGGAAAAAAACAGAGGCAGAAACCTTGGGCAGACCTCTCTTTCACCGTGTTCATATTGTTTTCCAACTACTTTACGGCGCTGAAATATGTGGAAGTAATTCATGGAGAGGCAAAAAAATGGTATACATCTTGCTCTTCTTCTGTTTGCCCGATTGTTTCTCTCTCTCTTGTTTATTTGTTGATTGTTTTCGAATGCGTTGTAACATTATTTCCACAGTTCTTGACTCAATTCTATCTTTCATTTTTGTATACATATCCGCTGACTTGTTTATTATATTGTCCTCAGTGACCATAGCCTTCTTAAAGACATATCAGTGTTCAGTGATACTCAAGGAATACGAGAACTCTTCAATATCTCTTCAAAGAGAGATTTTATAGCTGCAGTAGACTTTTTTTCCTATTTGTCACTTCATGAACTTTCAGGGAACATCTACAAGGTTGCAACAAACATACTTTTTCTCTTTCAACAACTTTGATGAAAATACAGCACTCCCACATGAAACATTCACAATGCACTCTGTAGCTCTTAATGTTACCTTCTGATACTTCAAAGTTATGACGAAGAAGTGAGCACAGATCACTACATGTTCTGATAAATGACAAGTATCAAGATTTTCAAAAATACCTTGAGGCCAGAGCAGCAATGCAGAGCACTAAGAACGGGATGCTGACTGTTTTGCAGGAGCATGATGTTCTGTGTGTGTGTGTGTGTTTGTGTACCTGTGACCGAGGAGTCGTTCTTTTCGCTGTGGCAGTCCTCCTGTCCATCTGCGTTCTGCTGTGTGTGCTGCAGACTCAGTTTATGACAAACCTCGAAAGCCTGGCCGACTGTCCGTACAATACGCATGGCCTGACTCTGGGTGGGTGGGCAGGCGGGAGGGGGGGGAGAAAAAGAGAAATGCAGTTGTAATTCTCAGGAAAACATTCGGTACCACTTTTGTATTGCCATCTGGTTCAAAATGCTTATTGCTGTTCAGTGTTTTACACCCAAATTCAAACATTTTCTTCAGTATTGTGATGACTTTTCCTTGGATTTGGGGTTTATCTTTTTCTGGTTTCCAAACAAACCAAAAAGGTCAAACCTATCACTTCTTCATGTACCAGGGTATTTTTCCAGGAAGTGTTGTCCAGTATTGTATATTGAGCCTTGACGCAGATTTGTTCCAGAAACGTGTGTATTTCATTTCAAACACACACAATAGGTAGGAAATGCAGTTCTAAATTATCTATAGGTCACCTGATGTTGTAACGCAATAAGTCTCAGAAAGAGGAGCATGTCTGGGTTTACAGTCCAAACTCAGTGGAACATCAGAAGAATTTTTCCTTTGTCCTCAGGTGCAAAGAGATGGATGTGTCTGCTTATCTCCTCCTTTACTCTTTCCACCCTGCTCTGAAAAGGCAGGTCAAGTGAAACCAACTTAGGTGACTTCTCTGTCTGTTATCAGGCCTCTCTAGTCTGACTTGTCACAGTGGAGAGAGAAAAATGTTATTTTAAAGCACTGAGGCCTAGCCTCCAAACACTACTCATCCTCAGCTGAATGAGCAGAACAGATGCAGCGTGGCCTAAAAGCCAGGACAGAATCAAGACACTGCCAAAGGACAAAATCCTTTCTTGTCCCGGTTATCAACTCTGAAGTTATGTCCCACAAAATGTTCAGTCCAGATCACTCTCAGAACATTATGTGACCCTAGGCTTCGTAGCAGAGAAACATAATTTATTGCATACATCTGGGTGTTTTATTACATTAAAACTTAAACCGGTTTTGGCAATATCTGAGGTGCTGGGCCTGGACAGATGTTTTTGTTTTTTGGGGTCAGAAAAACTCAAAAACACGTTTGCTTTCTGCTCAGTGGCGAGGTCTGCAGTCTTAGTGCTCTCAGGGCATTTTGTTCTTCTTATTATTTCGTTCTTTTCATTAAAACATGCTGCTTCGGCTTCATTTAGTGCTGATGTTTCCATAGTGACTACCCAGCAGTTGCTAGTATCAGCCAAATAGGTATTTTTGTCCAGATCTGAAAATGTCATACTGACCCTTACATAATCCGAGCAACAGCTACTACTGCACCAACGATCACAGAGCTGCATTTGTCATCTCACTAAAATTAACTTACAGCCTGTTGCCACTTCAAAAGTGTTATGGTTTAAATCCAAGCTTTTATCGTCAGAATACGCATGTTTCATAGGATTATTCAGAAAAGAGACAACGGACAATGTGGTATATGGTAACATAAAACATAAATGTACATGGATTACCAATAACAACAATCTAAAAGGGAATATTAATCAGTAATGATTCCCTGTATTGTATTTTGTGTTTTACTCTTTGAAAGCCTAACCAGGGATAAAGACTGCAAATTAGCTACAGCTATAAGTCCTATATACACAGCATCAGTTGCATTTTATTTGAATATAATAATGCCTACGTGTGCCTGTCAAAAGCAGCCCTGGCAGCTAGAACCATTTTACCAACTGACCTGTGTATCTATTGTAACAGGAAATGTTATCAACCAACCCAAGAAAGACGACCAAGAGTAGCTGAGTATAGAGAGTGTAAATGAGCAGCCAAAGTCCAAACAGACATCATACTATGAATTATAAAGACAATGCAGCGTAAACCATCTTCAGCTGGTGCCCCTGTGACATCTGTCTTCTCTCCTTTCTATTTTTCTAGCCACAGGCATTAATATCTTAAACAGATAAGACGGGTTGCTCTACCAGTACTGAGGAAAGATGAGATTAGTTATTGTCACTTGAAGAGAAAATTGTCTTGGAACAGACTGCTGTTAAAAGAAACTTCAGGTGACAGAATGACACGTCAAGACATCAATCTAACAGAGTCAAGACAGAAAATACATCAAATACAGTGCCCAGAGTATTGTCCCCATGTTTAAGACCTTTATGGAGAGCCACAAGTGAATTATTGATGCGGTTTAGCTTGGTTAACCTTTAATTTGCACTTGAGGGGGTGAGATTGTTCAGAGATGCCCACATGCTGATATAATGCTTACTTATGAAAGTGTCTCATTTTTGTAAAAAAAAAAAAAAAAAACCTCTGTAAAAAAAAACCTTCTTTACTCTCATCCCTCCCTTGCATCCTTCTCAGACCCTCTGTACAGTACTTCCATGCTGTGCTGTTCTCTTCAACTCCATCTCCTCCATCATCCATCAATCCCCCCCCCGTCTCCTCCTCCTCCTCCTCCTCTGTGGACCCTCTATTCCTGTCACCCCACGCTGTTCCTCAGCCTGACAGTAAACACATGTGTTTTTATTTGAAGACATTTCCAGAGGCAGTTATACAGGGGATGAAAGCAGATGCTGGTGTTATTGTACACAGTGAACACACCAAAGGCTCGAGCTCCCCTGACTCATACAGTGACTGATTGGAAAACACGCAAACACAATGCTGTGCACAGTCTCTTTCTTTCTATCTACCTTTTATGTGTCCCTGAATCACTTTCTCAGTTTGTCCCTATTGAAGGTTTGATTTAATCAAAGTCAAACTTTTCAATAACGTCAAAGCAGATAACTTAACTGCATCCATCTCATCCACACACTGGTTCTGGCACACAGAGATGATGTCCCAGTTTTTAATCTCATTGATTTAATTTTTTTTTACAACTAGGAAAAACTTGTTGGTGAGCACAAAAAAAGACTTTGTTGAAAAAACTGGGGGCTACGATTCAGAGGCAAACTTTACACTAAGATTATTTACTTAAAAATTCAGAATGAATACACAAAACAGAGGAAGCGGGAACATTTATAAAAATAGTTTCTGAACAGAAGTATGCAGTGTTAGGAGGGGTAGTAGTAAAGTTTGTGTCCAAAGCTGCAGCAGCCGGCCTCACTGTAGTCTTTAATCTTTGGTACAGTAAGCAGCAGAGAGTCTGTGAATCTGTGCGCACTACAGAGGTCAGGGATATATATTTGGAGCATATCAACTAGACAGTCAAGTGTTCATGTGGGAATATATTTATATTACCAGGATCTTAAAAATCGATCCTAAAAACACCTTGAAGCCGGAGCAGGGGCTTAAGAACAGCAGTGATGTGAGCTCAGTGCTTTGTTCCAGTTAAACTCTGCCAGCAGTGTTCTGTAATCTGAAATTGTTTACAGACTTTTTGGGGAGAGCGGAGAGCAGAGTTCAGACTGGTCTGAACATCTACTTAATAAGAAGACTGGGTCAACAAAGCATGCGACTTTGACACAGGACACTGTGGTTCATGTCCCACTGGTTTCTTTTAACCAAGGTGACGTCCCTTAACAATTACCAAGTGGTTTTAAACTTGAAGATCAAAAAATGCTCATTAAGAGTCATTTTTGGAACTGTCATATGGGTTGTTCTGGAAGATACTGACAACGTTTTGCTATACAACTTATTAGCAACTGTTTTTATTAAGGAGGTCCTTCCCCCTAAAATGCGTTCTTTGAGCTGTCAACTAAATAATATGACTATACTGTGATGAAACACATCAATGCTGCTGTTATTATTTACATTACCAAATTTATGAAAATCAGCATTTTGTGTTGAAACTGGCTCAACATGCCCTCTATTGTTTTACATCATCCTAAACCTGGCAAGCCTAATGCTGACATAGAGTAGACCTTTTAGGGGTCATCAAAAAGAGTGTTAACCAGACCACCTCCCCCAGCCTCTGCTTTGAGTGGCAGTCTGTAAAACTGCAGCGTTCATTGTCAAACGTATACTGATCGAGAAGCATAGCTCACAGTATTTTATGCCCATATTTACCAAGCCTCTACTTAGTATTTTTCTATTTTGGTGCAGTGGTTTGCATATGAGACAGTTAGCTTCTCTGAGCCAATACCTTAGCAACAACACAGCTGCTAGCTGTGCTACAACACAGGTACCACACATCTTTTACAAAGAGCCATGACTGTGCTTCTAGTGACTTTAAAGCTCCAGCGGATTCTCTGTGTTTCCAGTGCGGACACGGAAAGTCTGACATCAGCTGCTTATGGTTGGTTAGCTCTGACTACCAGTTTACTGGTCCTGGTACACTGCTGTGGCCAGTCTGTCACTCACTCTGGTGGGTGTTGAAGCCATGCCCCCTAAGGTCACTGTTAAACTTGCTGAGAGGGAGGGAGCTAGTAGAATTACAAGGGAATTACTTTAATCCCTTATAAAAGTGCCTTGCCCAAGTCTTCAGTGTTATTTATACCTTTGTCAAATGGAAGGCCCCTTCCAACACACAAATCCTTTTCAGCTAACTCACTTTTTATCAGGACAGTTGTCCTGTATCTAGACATTTATGCCCTGAGCCAATTCTCCAATGGATCTCCAATTTTGTCAGCTGACAAGACTGCTAAGAGATTTGTCACTCAAATGCAAAGTCTGTATATATCCTGCTGCAAAGACATGAAATAGTTCTTAACTTGGACATCTGTCACCATCTCTGTCTAGCTCTCTTTCTCCGTCACTATCACTCTCCCCATCACTTTCCTCTCTGTCAATTGAACTGAATAAATGTACCCTCTCTGTATCTCTGTCTTTCTATCTCTCACTTCTCTCTATATATATATCAAACTGCCAGTGAGCTGGATCCTTGCAGTAGAATACTCTCTCTTAGTGGCTATAGGATAGGGCCTAGTCTAAAGCATAATGCATTATTTATCTCAGATTACTCAGACGTTCAGCGGTGGTTTCGCTGTCCTCTTGGAAATCTTGGTTAGAGCAAAGATGAGGGACAAAAGGGAATATAATGCAATTTAATAAAAAGCAGGGTAAACAATGAGTTGATGGCAGGGGAGTAAGGGTGGGCGATATGGGCAAAAAATAATATCTCGTTATTTTGGGGGATTTTGGCGATAACAATAATCAGTCATAATCAGATAATCAG